TATTTAGGGGATATTTTTGGGGTATTTAGTGGATATTTAGGGGATATTTTTGGGGTATTTTTAGGGATATTTCGGGGGGATATTTTGGGGATATTTCGGGAGGATATTTTGGGGATATTTCGGGAATATTTAGGGGACATTCCAGGGATATTTCAGGGATACTTTGGGGATTTTTGGGGGATATTTAGGACATATTTCAGGAATATTTCGGAGCTATTTCGGGGAATATTTCGGGTACATTCTGGGGATGTTTCGGGGCTATTTCGGGTACATTCTGGGGGTATTTCGGGGCTATTTCGGATAATATTTCGGGTACATTCTGGGGATATTTCGGAGCTATTTCGGGAAATATTTCGGGTACATTCTGGGGATGTTTCGGGGCTATTTCGGGTACATTCTGGGGGTATTTTGGGGCTATTTCGGGTACATTTCGGGTACGTCCCGGGGCTGTTCGCGGCGCTCACCGGTGACGNTTCAGGTAGGATTTTTGGGGTGGTTTTAATGGTTTTGGGCTGATTTTGGTGTTTATGTCCCCAGGTGACGTCTTCGAGAGCTTCTCGGGGGATTTTTGTGGGATAATTTTGGGGTGATTTTTGGGGGTGATTTTGGGCTGATTTTGGTGGTTTTCCGGGGCTGATTTTGGGTTAATTTTGCCGTTTTTTGGTCCCCCCCAGGCGACATCTTCGAGAGCTTCTCGGACCACCCCCCGCTCCTGCTGCCCACCCGGGGGTTCCGCCTGCGCCCGGGGGTCCCGCTGGGCCCGGGGGGGCTCCTGAGACCCCTCCTCAAAATCCGCCGGCGGCTGTGGGAGCTTGAGGGGGGCGATGACCCCTGAGATCCCCCAAAAATCCCCCCAAAATATCCCCAAAAAATAACACAAAATAACCTGAAATATCCCAAAATAACCCAAACCCTCCTGCGCCCCCTCCTCAAAATCCGCCGGCGGCTGTGGGAGCTCGAGGGGGGCGATGACCCCTGAGACCCCTCCCCAAATAACTCAAAATAGTCAAAATCCCCTCAAACCCCCCCCAAAATAACCCAAATCCCCCCAAACCCCCCAAATTCTCCCCAATTTCCCCAAATCCCTCGTGGAATTGCAGGGGGGGGTCTCTGTGTGTGACCCCTCGCCAAATAAAAGAGTGACAGTGAAATCGGTGTGAGAGTCTGGGGAGGGGTCCTGGGGGGATTTGGGGGAAATTTGGGGAAATTTTGGGGGTCACGGGTGGGATTTTGGGGATTTAAGGAGGTCCTGGGTGGGATTTTGAGGATTTTAGGGGGTCCTGGGTGGGATTTTGGGGATATTTGGGGGTCCTGGGTAGAATTTGGGGATTTTGGGGGGTATTTGGGGGGTCCTGGGTGGGATTTTGGGGGATTTTAGGGGTTTGGTGTGTTCTGGGTGGGATTTTGGGTGGATTTTGGGGGGTTTTACTGTCAGGACCTCTCCCCAAATTCCCCCCCCCACCCCCCCGGACCCCTCCCCAAATAACGCGAGGCTCTGGGGGGG